AGTCATATGAATAGAGAATTTCAATACCCCCCCAAAAAAAAACATTCAAGGACTTTTAAGGACAAGTGTAATTTTTGGCTGTTTTCACAAACTTTCCAGGGCCTTGAAATCATTTTTTAATTCAAAAACTTTCAAGTATTTCAAGGACCTGTGGGAACCCTGACTATTTCCATGGAATTCAGGGGTTAAAATGACAGTAAATTGTTTTTAAAACAACATGGGGTTTATGGGGTTGTCCCTGGAAAATTTTCACCCCCGTAAGGGGTCCCCAGATCCAAAACGTTTGAGAACCCCTGCTACAGAGTACGAAAATAAAACAAAATGACGACAATGATTTTAGTTTACTGATTCCAACTGAAGTGTAATTTGCAAAAACATGTGAAGCAAAAGAACTGAGAAGCACAGTACTTGAAATTCTACACTAACCTCTGCTCACGAATCTCAAACTTCCTACCTTAGTCTTTTTTTGTTGTTGTTGTTGTTGTTGTTGTTAACTGTGTCGCCAGCTGGCCAGAGGTGCTAGCTATCTCTGCCTATTATGAATGTATTTTTCCCCTTCCCTCCCACTCCTGCAGACCCCTGCAGTGGATCTCWGGGAAAAATGGCCTCTGTCTTTTTTCAGTAGCTTGAACAGTAATATAGCATGTGTCAGGGAATGGAAAACAAGGCTAAAAAATATGCAGCAAGAAGCAAACTGGTAGGAATGGATGACTGAGCCAGAGGCTCGGCCCGTAGCTGCTACCAAGGAAAGAAGTGACTCTAATAGGCCAGCATAGTACCCCTCCTCCCCATTTTCCCCCACTGCTCCCTCTTCTTTTTCTCCCTCTACTTCCACCACTACTTCTTCTTTTAAAGTACTACTTCACTGAGGTCCTGACTTCATTTTACCTTTGTTTTATCTGCAGATACAAATATAGGTCACTCAGTGGAAGAAATGCATTTGCTGTATTTCATCTCTACCTTTCAGTGTTGTATAACAGTGGGTGTAACACTAAAACAGAACTTCTCTAGTTTACATTCAAACTGTGTTTGTTCTAAATGTTAGGGCTGAGTGGAAGAACTGCATTACTAATTTATGTAAAGCATTTTCTTGTGCAATAAAGTGAATGTTCATGTTTTTACCAAACATTCTAATAAAAATGAACTTAAGAGGGTGAAAGATAATCACCTTTTGATAACTTTCTTTTTTTTTAAGTAATTTGTAAACTATATACTGAGTCATGGTAATCAGAAAAAACATCAAATCAAAATATTTTGCTAGTAATCCAAAATGTGGATGTACAAACATTTAAAGAAACTGCAAGAAAATCCAGGAGTTACAACCCAAACTTGCTTGTTTTGAAGAATACTGTATTAAGCTTATTTTTGCAAAAAGAACATTTGAATAAATCACAAGTCTTCTAAAACAATCTTTTTATTTAGACAAGAATAAAATGAGAATGTTCGTCTATATTTGTAAGATAAACACATTACATGAAAAAACATTTTGCACCGTGGTGCACTAGGGCTGCACGATATTAGGAAAATCTGATGTGTGATAACAGTGTTTGCTGTTGTAGGGCCCTATAAAATCAATTTTTCCCCCAAATTCCATTTTATTTTGTCCCAAATTCCTTTTTTTTTCTAAATTCCACTTTCTCCATGTTTTTCCCCTGAATTACACATTTTCATTGTAACCATATTTATTAAGCTAAAAAGTGTGTCATTATAAAGTGACTGAATAATATTTAAACAAATAAATAGCTACAGAAATTTAAAAAATAATGTCTGTTATTTCACTTTCACTAATAAAACACATAGCTGTGGTTCAGTAGAACATTAAACTCTTTTTGAAAGCTGTTTAAAATTATTTACTAAGAAACAAAAACATTCTTATGTGTAAAACATAGAATCTCACATAATAAAGTTATCTTTTGTAAAATAAAAATGTTTTAGAATTTAATTTATATGTCATAAAGAAACAAAACCCACAAACAGCAACAATTTGTGCACACTTGCCAACTGAATACAATCTAAGCTCATTTTCTTCTGTAATAGACACACACACACACACACACACACACA